TCTGCAGCAACACATAGGAAAGGCATGATACATGAATAGATCCTGACTTTTTCTGTGTCCACTGCAAAAAAAAATCATTTGTAATGACTAGTGTTTTAAAATTTCGCCCTGCCTTGAGGTCGACCCCTTGAGTCACTGTCTCTCTCTCTCTGAGGGTTGGAGTCAGCAGTTAGACCCCGCAAGCACATTGACTCTTCTGACCCCCGAAATCTCCTGGGTCAACCTTGAACCCTGGGTCAGAGGCGTCAAATGGGATCACTGCACTTTTTTTTTAACTTACACACAAAAAGACATCGTTTGATGTGTAAAAAAAAAAAACTCAATGCTGCCTAGATCTAAAACTAGATATGAAATCTGAATTGTTCTTCTTCTTCTCTTCCGATCTTTTCTCCTAGACCCAGACTCAGTCTCCTTGATGTGGTGATCTCTTCCGCCGATGTGGTGGTTCCTCCTATCCTCTTCGATCTTCTTTTTCTGTCTCTTCTGTCATGTTGGTTCTTCTTTCCTCATCGTTGATTTGTCGCACCACCACCTCTTCTCCGCCATTCTTTCTTGGGGTAAAAGATCTACTTTCACATGTTGTTTTAGGTGCGTAAGAAGGACTACGAGGGCCTGAGTTTGCTGATATAACTTTTCATTAACTCCAGTAGAATATATGTTTTATACTTTGATAGTTTGATACTTTGATTAGCTTGTGTAGTATTGACTTGTGGATATAATTAATTGAATTATGTTAAGTATATTTTAAATCTTTGAAGATAGATAGTTTGATTTTTTAGAATTTTTCCTATATGATATATATTTATATATTTTTAATATGTAAAATCGAGTCAACAAAGTGATCCTATAACCTTCAGTTGAACCTGTGACCTCGTGATCTCTAACCTCAGTTGAATCAATGACCGTGTCAAGTTTTTAAACACCATAGGGAGCGTTTGGTAGAAAAGATATTTTTTTCATCCGAAAAAATTTTTTGTTGCGAACATGGTAGAAAAATTTATTGTTGGGTAAGATGAGAAAAAATGTTTGGTATGCCAAAATTTATTGCGGGTAAGATAAGAAAATGTGTGTTTGCCGTAGGCAAATTTTTTTACCATACATTAGATGGTAATATTATATAATGAGATGATCATGTGTAAAACATGTTTCTCAGCCAAAAAATTTTGCTACTCAATTCTTTATTTTACTCCTACCAAACATAGCTAAACTATTTTTATCATTCCACTCTCCTGGGTAAAAATTTTTTTCCCTCCTATTTTATAAGTGACTTTAGGAAAAACCGACCCTTAAATTAATATAAATGATATAAGAATATGTGATGGAGAAGAGCAGCAAAAGCACAAGCGCCAGTGGAATCAGCGGTGGGGTCCTCAGATCGGACTATTTAGGTGTCGACCGTTAAGAGGGCCTAACTTTCTCCTGAAACTGACATCACACAGTGTGGGACACTCTGCCAATGCTGTTATAAGGTCAGGTACCAATGGAAACTGGGAAGCCAATACACGTGTATTTCATGTCATCAAATGACACCCTTCAAATTTCTAGCACTTTAATCTTAGTGACAGCTTGTAATCAATGTAAGACTTTCTAATATATGTCTTAGTTGCACTTATTAAGAAAAAATAAAAAAAATTTAAATATAAAGTAAAATTTTCAATATATTAGTATTTTGTTTTATCTAATACTTTAAGTTAGTCTTTAACAAGTAATCTTAAATCATTTATTATAAAATCCTAAAGGTAAAATTAAATCACGTTAAAGTAAAAGAAAAACAGAAGTTTAGATTTCTTTTCTATACATAAGGAATTTTTTTTTTTGGTAAACGGATTTTTTTTTAATGAGTGCAAAGTTTTTTATTTTATTTTAATATGTATTATTATTTACACCATTGAAAGGGATGAATCTCTCAAATAATTCATTTAACTAAAATGAGAAAATTTTAAATTCTTCTGAAAAAAATAATTTAATAGCCCTTTCATTACTTAAAGAGAAAAACAAAAACACAACATATATTTGTTTTTGTTTTTTTTACGCAACAGTATTCGAACTAAAATTCTTTTTGTAATATTTTTGGCTGTCAAATGGACAAATGCATTATTCAATACTTTTTTTTAGAAAATTTTCTTTCCTATTTAAGCAACAATTGAGGATAACTATTAGACTGATTTTCTGTAAGAATTTGGCATTTCTATGCCCTCCTTGGTTTTTTTTGTTTGGATAATTTCTTCATTACTCTATGCCCTCCTTGGTTGATTACATGGTTCTCTCCCTCTAACATACTATCATAGTGTGAGTTTGAATAATGAAGAATTTTTTTTTTTTTTTTTTGTATTTTTTAAAATTTTGATATTCATGATAAAGTGGATTAGCAAGTGACGGAGATGATAAAGGTCAACTAGAAATCAATGAATAGTAACATTATAGAAGGTGAAAGAACCACACCAAAAAAACAAAGGGCGAAAGAAAATGTTGAATTTCACATGTACTCTTTCTTTACTATATTTTAATGGGGGTAGAATATTTTTATTATCAAATATTTCTACTGCTACTCTAATCATTGTTAACGTTAAATTTCATTTTTTTAGCCGATAATTTTTGAAGAGAGCAAAAAAATAATTTTTAATATACTCCTCAAAATACGTAATTATATTAAAATGATAATAAATAAATAATAAAAATATTTGATAATAAGCATATCTTACCTTTTATATTTATATATATGCTTATTTTACCTTTTATATATATATATATATATTGCATTCAAGACACTGTATCCCTTTCAAAGAGCCTCGCATGCACACAAAAGCACTACGGGCTCGATTACTTTTCTCTAATTGTTTAGTTTTCATGTTAATCAAATTACTCTGGTTGAAAGCGAAAGATTTTACCGTTAACAACCTACATATTTTTATGGGTTTTATTTATTCCATGTTATATAAGAGAAGTCAATTTTTTACACACACAAAAAAGAGATGTGTCTCATTTCTATTTTTTCTCCTTCCTCTTGTATATGGGTCTCACTTGTAATTTTGTTTCTATTACATTAGAGAAATTTTTTATATTTTTATACTTCAATTTTAAAAATCCAGAATGCCCCTAGCTCGCTAATGTGATGATAATAAGGTAGTTGGCGTTTCTAAACTTATACCATAATTGCACCAATCAAAGGATAGAGTCACAAAACTTATAATACATCCATGAAAGTTAATTTTTTTCATTTCAATCTCATTCTCACAGTAAAATATCCTAAATAAAATTAAACACCCAATAGGCCCATGTAGAAGGGGACCTGAAAATTTTCAGAAAGGATGGTGGCGTTGGATTGGTACCGTTATATCATGAAGAAAATGAAATATAAACAGCGAGGGTTTTTTTAATGTATTTATTCGCCATCAAACCAGATGGGTTGAGCCAAAAAATGTAAAAAGACAAATTGTCAGTGTTTTTCATGTAGTTAAGGATCAAGACGTGCAGGACTCAAATTGGTAGACTTTTGAGAGGATTTATCATGTGCCATAAATGTAAACACCACATGATACAAAGGAGATACGTATATTGTATTTTTGGACAACATAGGAAAAAGAAGACCAATGTTCTCATGTCATGCCATTACAGCTTCAAAACGGAATGCATGCATCAAGAAATGGGAAACGGATGATTTGACAAATTCAAATGAATGAATGAATGAAACAATAAATTATCACAGGTACAGACAAACAAAACCACTCTGCATTTCCTGATTCAGTAAAAGAAATCCCACAAAACAAAAGGGATATTTTCATTATTTTTTTCTCATATATATCTCATAAAAGATTCAGTCCAAAAATGCTATTTGAATATGGTTCTATGGGAAGAAATTAGATTAAAAATATTAAGAAATGACAAATTACAGTGCATAAAATTCCCCTACTTGAAAAGGTAGGAGTGAGAGTCTTTTGTACAGCCTTACCCATTTATATTTTGCAAAAAAAACAAAAAACAAAAAAAAAACTATTTCCAAGACTCAAATTTCTAACCTTTCCATCATAAAAAAAAAAATCTTATCACTGCCGGAAGGCTCGCCTTAAAAAAAATCTTAAGTATATCAAATAAACAAAGTATATCAAGTAAACAAAGTATATCAGGGCCAAGGGTAATAAATTAGACCATATTCTTGTTCTCCCTCTCCTTTTTTATATTATTATTATCTTTATGCTTTTTTTTTTCTTTTTTTTTGGATAACAAAAAGTTTAAGTGAGGTTAGACACCGGTATCCACTAGGGTCATAAAAGACCCCCAACTTCTTTATGCTCTGATTTGCTGTTGGAGTCATCTTGCAACTGGTCCTACATGGATCTTAATTATTAAATGTCATATTCAATACCAATATGTTGGGGATTGAACTAGCACAAATTCTTTGTTCTCACTTGACTTGTATCTTGAATACAAGCTAAATGGTAAATACATCACATTTACTATTCTAAAACTCTTTCTTCTTGGTAAAATAATAATAATAATAATTTTGAGAAGCTGCTTGATAGTAGATTAGGATGAATATAAGTTGTTCCCATCCTTCATATTAATAACGCAAAAACACTTTGAAAGATATAAATGATCAGAGAATGGAATGGAATTCTCAAACACTACAGGAGCGATGTCGTCAGATGTTTTAGGTGAAAACGTTTGAATTTTTATGTTTGACAATAAACCATACTGTCTTATCATTTACACACGCGCATGCATACAGAAAGGGAAAGGGGAGAGAAGAACTTCAAGTCATGACACTGAGCTCCATAGTAGGTAAATGCAGATAAGTTTGTTAATATTTGTCTATGTCAAAGTATGCGCGTGCACGTGTGTACATACAAGAAAGTGAGAGAGAGAGAGAGAGCGAGAATTGAGGGATTTTCAATGGTAACTGTACAATCCCCACATTCTTAAATTATATATGCAATTCAAATATTACCAGAATCAAGGTCATGGTCTTAGTATTAGCTGGACCATACTGATACAATCCAGAAAAGCAAGATCAACAAGCTAAGGTACCTAATGAAGTCCCATTCTTGTAGGATTTTTAATCCAAGCTGAAACCAAATAATCATGCTCATACCACCCCCCAAGCCTATAATATATCAAAGGACAAAAACAGCTTAATTTCACAAGATTTCTTACACTTACACAACATAACATATACTTCAGTACATTTTTTTAGATAAAATCTATACAGAGAAATAACACCATCAAATCCCAGACAACAACTTATTACCGAGGCTCTTCTTACTCCTCTTCTTTTCAGCTCAAAAGTTTGTTTTTCTTTCTAGATGTTCCTTTATTTGTATTCAGTAATTCCATAAACTATGAAGGTCCACTGCTGCAACAGAAGTTGATGGATGATGCTGATTGTCAAAGGACCTCCTGCCCATATCAAAATTCGATATCACCGAAGAGGTTTCGGCATTCATGTCAGTAGTGAGACCTGTTTCCTGTGAAACACTGACAATTTCCCTATCTGTCTTGAAACCATTGATCAAGTTTGATCCATTGTTTTCATGTAAGGCTCTCAAAACTGTCTGGTCCTGCATACTGTAAACAGATCCGGGGAATGGCAAATTAGCTGGGACTTGAACACCTTGAGCAGAGTAGAATGAGCCAGAAGGTGGCATTCTTGGAAGAATGTCTAATGGATTTGAAGAAACCCCATAGATGGAGTTTGTGAATGAATCAAAGATCCCTCCTTGGTTTCTTTGAACATCAATTGGATTGGAGAAGCAGGGCACGCAAACTGAACCCGAAAGTGATTTGGTCTTGTCAATGGAAGGTGAGGAATCTGTGAGGGGTGGTAGACCAGAAGAACCCAATTCATTTCCAAAAGAGTCCAACTTCATTATCCCAGAAATATGAGTTTTCTTACCGGCTGAACTCTTTTGAAACACCCTACAAATAACCCACTCGTTCTGCAACACAGGATCAAAATCCATAATCCGTATGCATTAAGTATTGTAGAACAGAATAACAAGCACAAGAGAAGAGAAAAGAAGAAAGAGTCCAACTTGAAAACAAAGGAAGCAGGGTCAGGAGGATGATACCTTTGCAGTTTTAGGGAGGTTTTGAACAGAGAATTTACCATCGAGTCTGTATTCGTGCATGACCCAGTTGCTTTTTTCACCTTTGGGTGCTCTTCCTTTATAAAAAACCAGAGTTTTCTTCATTCCAACCAGCGATTTTCCTCTGAAAATCTCCTTGTCTTTCCCTGTGGCCTTCCAGTATCCTGCTTCTGTGGCTCTATTAGTCCTCAACCCAGTTGGGTATTTTCTGTCTCTCACGCAGAAAAAGTACCACTCTTTTTCTCCCATTTTCGCTTTCCCTACACCCAAAAATTGCACACACAAAGTTCTAATTTATCAATAGCAAAAAGGAAAACGAATAAACATATATCAAAACAGAAAATCCAAAAAAAAAGTGGGTCTAAAAAAACCAGATTGATTTCACTTACATGGCAAATCCCAAGGCTCAGACTTGTTGAGGTCTACCTCTCCAATGGCCCTGGCAGAGAAGTTGGTATCAATGACCTTCTTGTAAAGGTAATGGCTTATAAGCTCTTCATCAGTTGGGTGAAACCGAAATCCAGGTGGCAAATCCATCTGATTCTCTTGCTTACATAGGACTGAAACGTTGTTTTCCATTTCAAGGTACCTTAAAATTAATTATCTGAATTCAGAGGGGTGGAGCTTCGATCAAGGGTCAACCTCAGTTTTCAATATCTAAAACCTTAAAACCTCGGAAGTGTTTTTCTTAATGAAAGAGCTTTGACTCACTTCAAGGCTCTCACAGAAACTGAATCCAGAAACTGTTACTGAGGTTTAAAAGAGAATAAAGATTCCATAGAGAGTGAGCGAGAGAAGGATAAAAATGAATGAAGAGAAAGGAAGTGAGTAATTAAGGAGGATAGGGAGAAATGAATATGAGAAGAAAAGGGAGAGAGGAAAAGAAGGCTCTAAATACTGGTGTTTGGGAGAGGAAGAAACGTGGAATGTAAGGCAACCTCGTTGGTTGTTTATAGCCTAAGCCCACTTCTTCAACTTTTTTTTATGATCATAGGCTAATTTTGTTCTCACTCAACACACCATGCCCAAATTCCATGCATGTAATTATGATGATTACTTTCTAAACTTACCATTCAGTTTATCTTACACCGCATACGCTCACCAAGTAGTTAATTTTATAGACGTGGGTCCCACTTGTTGCTACCCTGTATATCTATTTCAACTCCAACAAATGTTTTATTTTTATTTTTAATTGATTCAATACATATTCCAATTTAAGCGTTCTGGGTTTTTTTTTTAAAAAAATTTATCAATATGAATCTTTTAAGTGGTACGGGGGCCAACAAGACTTGTGATGCAAATTGGTGCATCTCAACTCAACATGCAATATTTTATAAGTAGAGAACAAAAATAAAATAGAATCATCAATAGGCGTTGATAATGTATATTTTTTTAACCAAGAAATTATAACTTCCACAAAAAAATAAAGAATTTCTACTCTTTTTTATTTAGAAAAAAAAAGGACATCGTTTCGAGAAGCTTAAATTTTTTTTCCATGTAAATTATTCAATGATTAATATAGGCCATATCAACCAATGTTATGAAAAATAAATCGGACTTTTCGATCGGACCTGAAACCGAATCTTCAATCGATTTGATTCAAATATTTGATTGGTTCAGCACTTAAACCAGTATAGAACTGATTAAGGCCCGTTTGTATTCACTTTTTTTAAAAGTCCTTTTTATCACTTCTTTATTTTAAAAGTATTTTTTATAAAAGTTACAGCTATTTAGATTTTTAAAAAAATATTTGACTTTTGACTTCTGCTTTTTTGAGAAGCTAAAATTTTTAGTTTCCGAAAAAAGTAAGTTTTTGGCTTTTTTTTATGACTTATGCTTTTTTTAAAAGCAGGCATCCAAACAGACTTTTTTCGAGAAGTGCTTTTTTTTCTTTAAAAAAGCAGCTTTTGAAGAAAAAAAGCTCATCCAAACGGGCTCTAACTGGGATACCTGGATCAATTGAATTGAAACTTCTATATCTAAATAGGCTAGGTTAGCTTTCGATTTAAATAGTCTAACTTTGTGTACATATTTTAAGCTTAACCTGATCTATTAGTCTTATATAGGATTAAATTATAAGTCTGGCCTGATTTATATTTAAAAAATAAAAGTCTTAACCTATTAACCTATTTAAACCTATTAAACATTCAATAATTAAAAAAATAATTAAAATAATATTATTTTATTATTCAAAATTATAAAAATAAAAAATTTATTAATTTTATTTAAAATAAATAATATGATATAGGCTGGCCTGTAGGCTTATACGCCCGGCATGTAAAAGAAAATCCATGACCTATTTTCTAAGGGGGGTGTATTGGATTAAGATTTTAAAAGACTTTTTTGAGCTAAAAAATCTTATAGATTTTAAAAGATTATTTAGAATTGGAGAGACTTTAAAGACTTTTTTAAAAGATTTTTTTTACCATCAAGATTTCATAAAATTGGATTTTAATAGAATTTATAAGATTTGAAAAGACAATATGGATTTATAAAATTTTAAAAAATCATATGAATTTTTAACAAACATTCAAAATTACAAGAGTCAATAAAAAAGGGAAAGATTATACTTACAACTTATTTTTGTTTACAACATTTTACAATCATATCTTAACCGTTGATTTCCGTCAATCAACGGTTATCATTCATTGCAAATTAAATATTAATTAATGAGTTTGATTTGCGAAAATAATAACTGTTTATTGACGGAAATCAACGGTTAAGATATGATTGTAAAAAGTTGTAAACAAAAATAGGTTGTAAGTATAATCTTCCCCGTAAAAAAATAACAAAGAAATGCAATGAAATTAATAAAAAAAAAAGTAAAACCTAATATAATTTTTTCAATCAGTAAAACATAATATAATTTTTAACAAACATTCAAAATTACTAAACAACATCTTTTCACATATCTAATGGGTAGAAAATTATCTTTTTCATTTGATAACAAAGTTATGCATATATGATTATAAGACCCAATTTTTTTTAATTATAAAAATAATTCTAAATTTGCATATAGAACCTAAAGTTCATAATAAAATTTTGTTTGGAATTTTTTGCAATTGATCTTGAAAATCTTGGGGTTTTTGTTTTACGTGATGAGAGTTTTCTAACCATATATCATATGCATATTTTCATTGAATATTCTAAGAAAATTCCGAATCTGAAATTTTGGGTTTAATTACATGAAAGTTTAGAAATTTTCTCAAATTTTTTTCAATCGATACATTGAAACCTTAAATTGCTTTGGGACTTTTGAGTAACAAGCTTTTAGTTATCTATTGACACAAAAATTATTTGAAATTGTTTCCTATAGTGAAGGAATTTCGTTCATGAATGTATTGTTACGAAATATAGGGTTCATATTATGAAAGTTTCAATCTTTCTTTAAATTGATATTGTTTCCTACTTTCATTGATGTAAAACAGAAATTGGTTTGAGAGTTTTAGTTCTCTTGTTATTTTTTTCACTGTTTTATGTTGTTTTATATATATTCAAATTAATAAAATCTAAATACGAAATAATTTCGTTATATACTATTTTTCATTTTTTATTGAAAACGTGTCCGATGTCCCAAATACTTATGACACAAGCGAGCGTAATGTTTATTGACTAAATCACATTTAATGCTGATATTGTGATACAATGTTAAAAGCGGTTCATGATATTATGTATTATGATACTTCGATTTATAGGACTTGAAGTTTAATTATCAAAATCCTTATCAATTTTTTCTTGTATTTTATTATTGATGGAAGACATAAAATAATAGAAAATGAAAGAATTATACATATATAGGGTAGAATTATTTGATACTAGTGTCAAATTAAAATTTTGACACATCATCTGAGGGTCATTAAATAAAGGCAAATCAATGGTGTCACATGTTTATAAAATGAGTCATTAGATCAAATCAAGATTAACGACTTTAAGATGAGTTGTCAAACTTTTTATTTAACACTAATATCAAATTATCATGTCCATATATATATATAATCGATATTCGCATTCAAAGGATATGGATTTCAATCAAATAGTTAAGAAATATCTCTTCACATTTAATTGTTTGTTTAATTATTAAATCATATATATTTATCGCGAGACATCTTTTATAGTTCATTCCTGACCAATGACCATAACAATTCGCTATCAAGAATCTTCAAGTAAATCAAATGTTACCTAAACTATAAATTTGTCTGTACTATTAGTAATTAAATAAACATTTCAACAAGTAAAATGTTTTTTATTTTATTTTTTTTAAGATAAACCACATGTATCTTTTACAGAAGACAATTCTGTTTAAGACGAGTTCCGTGATTAAGACCTTAAATCCCTTACAAAGATGATATTGAGGAGGATCTAACACATGTTCACACGCCATGTTCAGCTCTCATATGCTAACGGAGCTATTGGTAAACGGTTTTTTTTTTTTGGTACATAACTAAAACATTTTAATTGCAGATTAAGTTTGAACAATTTCTAAAATAGTTAATATTTTATTATCATCTAGTAAATAACTACATACGAATAATAAATCATAACACAATACGTGTGAAATTTAGTCAACGTAACATTTGATGATGTACAATGAATGTTGGGATTTGGGATCATACTCAAAGGTGGTTGCCAAATGATGGGCGAATTCGTTGGTCTTTCATAAGCTAATTTGTCTAGTGTATAAAGCAAAAGACACACAACAACTTGACCAGCTTTTTTCGTGTGTTATAAAATTGCCTTTTCCTTTTCTCAATTATATTTTAACGAAGTCAAAATAAAAACGGGACTATATTTCCACAAAAACAAGAATATGAAATAGTAACTAGCAAGATTTTTCAAAACTTGTGGTTTTGTTTCAGTCTTTATGTACCTGAATTTGATTGACCGTTTTTTAAATTTGAATTTTTTTTTGGCTGAAGCAGGATTAATTTATATCGGTATAAGTTATCTTATCAAATTTTCTACTGAAATAAATGATTACATAACTTCACTTAAAAATTTGTACATTAATTATATTTGCAAGGGCTGAATTGGTAACATTAGGGAAAAATATAATGATTCATGGCGCCGCAAGTAGTTTTTGAATGTTTGATAGAATAATATATAGCGAGTCTACAAAAATTATAACAAAGTTTGGTTTTATGAAACAAATGATTTTTTTAAAAGATTGCAAAATGTCTCCATATCACTTGAGTACTAATCTCTAATTAAACGTCAGATTAATAAGTCCTGATTACCAATTACTTTGAGTAGTTTTTGAATCCATGAATTATAAATAAAGTATGCTCGCGTAGAATGCATTTTATTAACTAATTCACATGTGATACTTATAAAAGATAATAGTTTACGGAGGGAGAGGGGGATATGGCCAAAAGAAAAGGCTAGAGTGATCAAATCTAAAGTGTTGGTGCTGTTCATTTCGGAGTTATAAACGTGAGCACAAAACATAAACTTTTATATTATAGATTACATAGGAAGGAGACATTTTTCTATGCTAGCTGCATTAATTATTTATAAATTTCCACAAAAAGTATTATCCTTTTATTTTTGGGTAAAAAGATATTATATATTGGTAAAAACTACTTTATGCTACATGTGACAAATTTCTTTCCTACACATCCTTCGATAATGTGTCACCTTTTTTTTTTCTTTTTTTTTTTCAGGTGATTGAGCCCACAAATTTAT